TGTGATGGCACCAGGGCCTGGAGCAGCAATGGGGTGTGCTGGGCCATGTCCTGGGAGCAGCCTGTGGAAGGAGTACCTGCCGTGGCAGCAGGATGGGCTTTAAGGTTCCTTCCAACCCAAACCATGCTGGATTTCTGGGATTCCATGGCTCTGAACAGCCGGGAGCAGCAGGAGCCCCTCAGCTCCGTGCTGTGCTGCCACGGGCATCTCCTCCTTAATTAGGGTTTGGCTCCCAGGGAAGGGAGATGGAGTGGATGACCTGCAGAGGGAAACTTGGCATCTTCGCAGCCAAGAGTTTTTATTCCTGCTGTGGATCAGGGAATGGGTTGTGCAATTTTTCCTTCTAGTGGAAGCCCATTGAATAATAAAGAATTTTGATGGCTGGACAGAAATGCCAGGAATAAACCAGGGAAATGTAGGATGAGTCTTTTTCTTCCTTGTATGTTTTTTAATATTTTTAAATGTTTAATATGTATGTTTTATATATTTTAATATTACCTGCACCCCATATCCCTCCTCCTGTTAAAACAGAGGTTTAGTGGTTATTATAGAGTAAGAAAAGTGATTAATACAAGGCTTCAGGGTTATTATGGGTTAAAAAAAAAGGTTATTTATGAGGGGGTTTAAGGGTTCTTTTGGGATAAAATAAGTTTTATTTATGGGATTTTTCATTCAACCCTCCTCAATGATGTGGAATTGCCTTTTGCAGGTGCCACAGACAAGGCCAGCTCCAGAGACATCCAGGTGGGTTGATCTTTCCATGGAAAAACCCAGCTTTGGGGGGCATTTTTGTGGACTGGCACGGTGCTTCCCATTAATCCTCAATCCCTGTGCTCTCCCTTGCAGCCAGCTGTGGTCCATCTCCAAGGCCAAGGCTCAGCAATCCAAGTGAAGAATGGTAAGGATCTCTTGATAATTGTGGGTACTGGGAAGAGCCCCTCCTGGATCCCAGTCCATCCCATGACACAGCTCCAAGATGATCCCTGCCCATCCCTGTTCTCCAATACCCTTGCCCAGACTGCCCCAGAAGAGTCTTGTGTGGAGTTTCCACCTCCGTTTCCCCATAGCTCCTGTTTATTTCCCAGATTATCCCTGCCCTGCCCACCCCAGTAATTCTGTCCCCCTGAATCTCCCTCTCCCTGACCTCCAGGTACATCTTGTGCCTCCCCAGCCCCTCCATGACCAGGCCTTTTTTCCCCCCATTCTATTTTAAGCCCTCAGTCGATCCTTGTCCTGTCTCTTCCCCATTTGCCCATTTTCCTCCAGTTTCCCAGGAATTTAAGGCAGGGAAGACCCAGTGGTGAGAGGACACAGAGGTGTTGTCCAGCTCTTCCTGAGGTCCCCTGAGCACCTCTGTCCCCACCAACAGCCTTTAATCCCAGATCCTGCCAAGCCATTTCCCATCCACAGGCAGCTCCTCACTCTCCTTCTCCTCTTTCCCAGATCCCCATCCAAATTCTCCTCAAGTTGCTGCTCTCCCTGCCAACAGCTGGGGCTCATTCATCACCTCCTGCCTCCCTGCTCTGGCTGTGCTGGACAGGAGCTGGCTTGTCCCCTCCCTGAGTCCCCACGTGCGGCTCCCCAGGGACCACATCCATCCATCCATCCTCACCCCAATCCCCGGCTGGGAGGGTCTCCTGATGGTGGAGGCTGCAGGATCCCTGTCCATGAATTCCTGCCTCACACGTGGGATGGGGAGGGCTGGCCACTGCTCCTGTGGGAAGGCAGCTTTCCCTGTGAGCAGTGGCAGCTGGAATTTCTCATGGACAGGGATTTGTGCTTGCAGCTCCCCAGAATGAAAAGGAAACCGCCCGTTCCCAGGAACAATGTGAGGGAAAAGCTGCTGTTTGCTTACGTTCAGAAAGCAATTTTCCCTTCATGACTGGGGATGCTGAGGGTTTCCAGAGGGATAACACTGCTCTCTAAGAGCGGGAATGCCCTGTGAGTGTCCTTCCCTGCTGCTCAGGAACAATCCAGAGCTGGGAGCCAGGAATGCTGTCCAGCTGCCAGCCTGGAGAGCTCCAGCTGATGCACAGAATATTCTGAGTTGGAAGGGACTCACAAGGATCATCGAGTCCAACTCTTAAGTAAAAGGCCCATCCAGCAGGGAGAGGAGAGGCAGATGGAGACTGACAGGAAAAGAGTGGGATTTGACAAACTGAGGCACCTACAGAGATTGGCTCAGTTTGGGGCTCATAGCAAAGTCTGTCCCTAGGTTATCCCAGTAATCCCACAGGACTGGGTGGTGGATCCATAAATCCGTATATTGAGGGATTATTGTGTTGTGAGATATGATGCAATTTCCTACTTCCTTGTTATTCTGGCTTTTTGAAACCTTAGGAGTTGTAAAGGCAAAGGTTTTGTTAAAACTATCCCGATTGGAAAGTCAGGAATGGTTAGGTCAAGGAACACCTTAAATTAAAATCAATCATGGCCTCCATTTGCCTGGAGAAGAAAAATCTCCAGGGAGCCCCTTCCAGTGCCTAAAGGGACTCCAAGAGAGATGGAGAAGGATTTTGGACAAGGGCCTGGAGTGACAGGACAAGAAGGAATGGCTTTAAGCTGAAAGGAGATAGATTTAGATGGGAAATTGGGAAAAAAATCCTTCCCTGTCAGGGTGGAGAGGTTCTGGCACAGGGTGCCCAGAGCAGCTGTGGCTGCCCCATCCCTGGAAGTGTCCAAGGCCAGGCTGGACATGGCTTGGAGCAACCTGGGATAGTGTAAGGTATCCCTGCCCATGGCAGAGGATGGAATGGGATGATTTTAAGATCCCTTTCCACCCAAACCATTCCATGATGGTTCTCTGGTGACCATTCCCATGGACACAGTAGGGAATAGGGATCAAACAAGCTCAGCTGCAGGGTCAGCAGGAGGCAGGTCCGTGTCCAGCCCTGGGATGAGCAGAGCACAACAGGCCCTACACTGGATTTTGAGGTGGAGAACACAGAGGGCTGAGAGGGCAGGTGATCTCACAAGCCATGGTGTGTGCTCAGAGCTAGAGAGGAGTCCCTGCTCCCACTCCCTGGTGTGTAATCCTGGGTTTCCCCCTGTGAATTCCCTGCTCCCCGTGGTGCTGTGACTGTGTTTGTGTTGCTCCTGTGCTTTTCCTCCTGATGGGTACTGAGTGACCGCCGTTTTCTCATACTGAGATCTTTCAGGTGGAGTCCTCAATGACTGGTCTCGCATCACTCTGAACCCCAAGGTGTTTAAGCTGCATGCCCGCAGTGGGGAGCTGGAGGTACTGGTGGACGGCACATACTTCATCTATAGTCAGGTAGAAGTGAGTACGGTCCTAGGCTAACTCCTCCTATTGTTGTGTTCCGGTGGAAGCCTTGCATGAACCACGAGAGGGCTCCAGACAACAGACAAATGCCAGCAGCTTGTGTTCGGCTCAGGAGGGGTGTGGGGAGGAGTGTCACACCCCTGTCACCGCCAGGACACCGCCCGCCAGGGATTAGTCACTGAAAGCACACCCCACACCAGCCAGTCCCGGGTTATCCCTCCGTTTATCCAGGTCCCGACCCTTCCAAACCTCCCTGCAGGCAGGACGCTGAGCTCAGTGCTTTAAAAGACCCGAACTCTGTGGTTATTTTGGAGCTGTGTCACTCTGGAAGCACAGGACTCCCAGCCCAGGTGGTTTGGCCAGATTCCAGCCCAGGTGACTCCGTTTGCCTCCCCAGATTTGTGTAGCTCCTCCCCAGAACCAGCTCTGGGATGAACCGGGCCACAGATGTCAGGTGCTCTTCCATGGAATTGGTGACACGTGTCCAGTTTGGATGGGGACAGGAAATATAACTCCACATGGGCCAAAGTATAATTGTTTCACAAGATGCTGATTGCTGGTCACAGTGTTGGACCAGGGAAGCCTCATCATTTGTAGTCCATCAAGGAGCAAAAAGGGATTCAGTGTTCAGGCAGCTCCTGCCTCCAAAAGGGCTGGATTTCCTTTCTCAGGAAGAAGCAGCTCCCTGAGACTGACTTCTCCTTGGACAGGTCTTTCTCCTGCAGCTCTTTGGAATCAGAGTGTGGGAGAGGGTTAAGTGAGGGCAAGTAGAGTCACAGGGCCTTGGAAGAAGTCAGGGAGTTCAATCAGAAAAAGCATTGTGAGGTGATTTCCTTCCAAGCTGTGGAGGTTGGGAGAGCCTTTTCCCTGTAATAGCTCGTGCCTGTGCAAGCACTGAGTCCAGGTACCCAGGAGGCAGCTCCCAGGCCACCTTAGGGCAGTTCTGATGTCACCACTAAAGGAGGCTCCTGGCACCAGGAAGCAGGACTGGCCAGGTAAGTGCAAGAGGCCTTCAGTGGAATGTGTGTGTCTGGGTGTGGGGTGAGAAGCTGCTGTAGCACTCAGGGGGTCCTGCATGCCTCTGTGCAGGTGTGTGGAATAAGCAGGATGGTAGCTTAGCCTTAGGCACACGGATTCAGGGGGTTTTGCATGCTTGGGTCAGTTTGAAGCGGAATAAAAGAGGCTCCTGGTTGGTTTGGGACAAGTCACCTGTGAGTGAAGGTGTTGGGGCCAGCAGGGGCTGCACACACCCCCAGGACGTTGCACTTGCTCCCCACACCCCAACCCCCTCCCTGACACCTTTCTCCCCCCTGCTTCACATCAGGTCTACTACATCAACTTCACCGATTTCGCCAGCTATGAGGTGGTGGTGGACGAGAAGCCCTTTCTGCAATGCACTCGCAGCATCGAGACCGGCAAGACCAACTTCAACACCTGCTACACGGCCGGCGTGTGCCTGCTCAAGGCCAGGCAGAAGATTGCTGTGAAGATGGTCCACGCTGACATCTCCATCAACATGAGCAAGCACACGACTTTCTTTGGGGCCATCCGCCTGGGAGATGCACCCGCGTCCTAGAGAGGAACTTGGCGTGGCCAGGGACGCCCACGGAACTGCCCAGTGCTGCTGTTCATAAAGCCTATCAGTATTTCAGGGGTTCTGTAATCCGGCCATAAAGGAAACTGATCCAGAGCTATTTATTCCTATATGTGAATGCAGGAAGCACAATTGTCCTCTGTGACTCGCGGGGAGACTCGGATCAAACCAAAAAGCTGGTGGGGAGAGCGTTGTGAGGAGGAAAGGCTGTTGGGTGTGCCTTGTCTCAGTATTTCAAGTATTACTGCACTGATACTCTGCTCTGTGACCTTCACACGAGGCTTGCTGGGAGAGCTGGGGGCTCTGCTCGGATGTTGGCGCTGGCAGGAGCATCCCGGGCAGGAGGGAGCAGGAGGACACGGACTCCTGTCCCCAAATCCCAGCCAGGCTCCTGCATGTGCACGCTAACCACAGCCAGGAAGGGGGTTCTGGCTCCCTGCCTTCCCAGGGGGAGCTGGAAGGGCTGGGGGGCGAGGAGAGGTGCGTGAGACAGGGTCAGTGGTGTTTACATTCATCCTCAGGAGGAGGAGGAGGAAAAGTGCCTCGACCTAGAGCTTGGAAGCAAAAGCAGGAAGTGCGAGAGGAAGAGGAGTAACTAGAGCAGGCTTAGCAGATAGGAAACTGCCTCCACATTCCAGAAACCACCAAATCCCAAAGAAAACGCCGATTCCCGGGTCCAGGCCTCTGCTCCTTTCAGCTCCTGCCCTTACCCCAGAGGTAACCTTGCCCCAGCGGGGGCTGCCTTCAAGTACTGCTGCTGTTACAGCAAGTTGAGTTGGGTTGGGGGTATTTTGATTTTGTTTTGGTTTTTTTTTTGTTTTGTTTTGTTTTGTTTGGGGGGGGGAGTTTTGTTTTGTTCTTTTTAATTAATATTTTGCAAACCAGAACACATTTCTACAGGCTTCACCGAGCCACGTAGAGCAGCCACAAGTACTTGTGACAACACTCGGAGGAAGTTTGTTATGTTTAAGAATAAAATATTCAAACAGGAGATTTTTTTTTTCTGTTTTAATAGCAACTGTCCTGCTTTTAGATGTGGTTTTTAGCCTTCCTCCCCCCACTCCTTTCCTTTTGGCACCCTTCTACCTAAAATAAGTGGTGATGGAGACTTTAGCAAAGGAAAAAAAATGGGATTTTAAAATCCGGTCCAGCATGAAGTCACCACTTTTTCTTTTCTCTGAGCCCTGCTGAGTCTAGTCATAACTTGATTTCTGGTGACTAATAGAGGAGCTGGGACACTATTGTTTCTTTTGGCTTCTTGAGCAACTCTGTCCCGTTACCTCCCCTCAGCTGGGGAGACCTAAAGCCATAAGATGCTCTGAGCCATAAGAGGCACAAATTGCTCTGTTGTCTCAGCGCTTGGCTCACACTTGCTCAGCTTGGTTGGGGTTTTGTTTCCCTGTGTTTCTGTCCAGAGCCTGTTTGTTCTTTCAAGAGGGGAGTGAAGTTGCAGCTTGTCTAGAAATGGGACAAATCCCAAAGTGACATCTTCAGCCTGGAGCAGGGAAGGTTTTGGGGACCTCAGTGCCTCAAGGGGCTCCAGGAGAGCTGGAGAGGGGCTTTGCACAAGCGCCTGGAGTGACAGGAGAATGGGAAATGGCTCCCCACTGCCAGAGGGCAGGGATAGATGGGACATTGGGAAGGAATCCTTCCCTGTGATGATGCTGAGGTCCTGGCACAGGGAAAGATGCCCCTGGATCCCTGGAAGTGTCCAAGGCCAGGTTGGACTGGGCTTGAGCAACCTGGGGTAGTGGGAGCTGTCCCTGCCCATGGCAGGGTGTGGAACTGTTTGATCCATAAGATCTCCCAGCCCAATCCTGTGATTCCATGCTCCTGGTGCTGGCTCCATGCGGAGGTGGCTCGTGGTCACCTGCAGGGTGTGGGAGGGACGCGTCCCAGCGCTGTGCCGTGGCCACAGAGGGTCCGCCCTGCCTGGAGCATTCCTGGCTCCAGCCCTAGCGAGTGATGTCCCTTGCCAAGTGTTGCAGTTATTGGGAGACAAAAATTCCTCGGGGCAGCAGCGTTGGCCGCGGCCTCGCTATTCACAGGAGCCGTGCACTTCGGGAAACAACTGCGTGACAAATGGGCTGCTCTGCCTTTTTAGTGGCTTCTCCTCCCTTCAGCCTCGACATGTGGGATGGGCAAGAGCCTTGGGGGCTCTTCACTGGGCTTTGTGGTTTTCTTTCCTTTCAAATGGATTAAGAGGGACATGTTCCTGTGACAAGAATGAAGCAGGACAACTGTGTACAGTGAGAACATGAAGCAAATCGTTAACAGGATTGCTTTAGAACAGGCCTGAGCAGCAAGGCTGGGGGCAGCCATAAATAACAGGGGGTTGGGAGAGCCAGGGATGGAGTTTGCATTCCTTGTCCCCCACTGGCAGGATCTGGGATGTGCTCCATGGCTGTGGGCAGGGGAAGGCAGAGGGAGAATCCCTTTGCTCTGTAAAAGGCCAGTGTTGCTGTCCCCTGTGGTGTGTGCTTGGGATGTTGGAGGAGAGCAGAAGAGGAGGATATTTCTTCCCGGTGCATGCTTGGGGTGCAGGAGGGAGCAACTCCTTCATGGAATGTGTTAACAGGCTTTTTCTGGTGCTCACACTAACCAAAGTGTGAGCTGGAGATGTGGACTTGGGTCTGGCTGCAGGTGGCCTTGGCAAACACAGCTGTTTCCTTGTCTTGGTGTTCCTGGTGGGATATCCCTCCCCAGCCACACCAGGAGCTCCCATGGAAGGTCTGTATGGCCACAGCAGAGTGTTGGCTGTGCTTTGTGAGGGAACAGCTCGTCCTTCAGGGGTGGGAGAGCCATGGTCCCCTCACTGGGATCAGAGCTGCTCAGGAGCCCAATGCCCTGGGAATGCAGGGAAGGAAGGGCAGATCCTATGGACTTGGATAACCAGGTATCCTGCTCCCAAACAGCCAGGCTGGAGCCCATCGCCCACGGCAGAGGTGTGACTTGGGCAGGAGGTTCTGCCCCTGCTTCCTCCACACCTCAGTCCTGCTGCTCGTTCCTCACATCCTTTGGAGATTTCTCCCACAAAAGCCTCAGTGGGAGCAGGGAACTTCTCCGACAGAGCCAGCACGGAGGGCAGGAAGGCCAAGAAGCACAAGGGAGCTGGTTTCTCCCTGCTCAGGCCGTGTGGTTCACTCTGCCTTTATCACAATCCAAGAGCAGCCTCGGTGTTTGCCGGCTCTGATCCACACCCGGCGCTCCCACCAAGTGAGTTCACAGCCCTGGGATGCAAATGCCCAGGGATTCTCTGCAGAAGTCCCTGCTCCACATCAGGGACTTTTCAGCTGCTGACAGGGGCTGTGTCACCGTGCAGAGCCACGTCCAGCAGTCGGGGTGTGCAGGGGGACAGGCTGGGCTTCCCCGGGCGTGGCAGGGCCGGATGTGCCGGTTCTGCTTCGGGGGTCACCCAGAGGTCGGTGTTTCCCTGGCAGGAGCTCACATCTGCACAGATGTGCCGTGTACACCACGGGGCAGCAGCCCAAAACGCCGTCCCTGGCCTGTCCCCACTGTTCTGCCTGGACTGGATGCTGGGGACACACGGCCAGCTCAAGGCTGAGTCACATCCTGGGCTGACAGTGTCCCCCACCATGCTGACTATCAGAGGGGTAACTCAGTTGTGTAACTCTGTGTGTGTGTGTGTGTGTGTATATATATATATATATATATATATAATTTATATTTATTTATGTATTTTATGTCTATATACTATTTTTTTCCTGCCAGACACCTCCAGGATTAGAGCATGAGCTCTGCGGCTGAAACTTCACATCCTTTCAGTAGCCTGAGTTGCTCCTTCACATGCAGTTAGCCACCCTGAGCCAAAAAAACCCCGCAAACTGTGCATTTTGGAGAGTGCCCCGTGAAGCATGGGGGCGTGTCCCCAGGGAGTGTGTCAGCACTAGGTGGCACAAGGACACGGGGATACCATCACCAAAAAAGTGTCCCTGTGGGTGGGGCACAGCTCCGGGCGCACAGATCCCACCTGGAGCTGCCGCAGGGACAGTTCCCTTCTGTTCCTGCCCTGGGCGAGGAGGTGACTCGGCAGCCCAGGTGGGGACACGGGGTGTGACAGCAGGAGGAGGAGGAGGGGGATTCCAGCTCTGCACATCCCAGGGGAAGAGCCCTGGGAAGCTGTTGTTTCCCGAGAGAGGCAGAGTCCCCTGGGCTGGGCTGCGCTGGGATGGGGAGGGACTGTCACTGCCTGGGTGTGACAGTCGGGTGATCCCACAGCCAGGAGCTGTCCCTGGCTCAGGATGGCTGCAGAGCCCTCGCCAGCTGCCCCTGCTGTCCCGGGAGACGGCACATCCTCCCCCTGGCACAGGGAAACTCCCCCAAACCCTCTCAGCTTTCCAGTGCCACCTCTGCCCCCTGGCATTTGATGTCACAGCGAGTCCAGCCGGTCACCTGAGCTCCCTCCTCCCCATCCTGCCGTTTCTCTTTCCCTTCCCTGTGGCTTTGTGCCGTTTTTCCCCCTCTGCGAGCTGATGTCTTTCTTTTCCCACTTCCGTAGCTACGAACACCCACATGCCTTATCTCCTTCCCCCATCCCATCCTGAAGCCTATTTATACAGAGCCTGGCTCCTGCCCAGCCTGCCAGCGACGCCGCAGGAGCGG